TTTCAGCGGCGACCTTATGTCGCCGCTGAATCCTGTTTCAGCGGCGACGCTTCCTGTCGCCGCTGAATATATCTTTCAGCGGCGACGCTTCCTGTCGCCGCTGAATATATCTTTCAGCGGCGACCTTTTGTCGCCGCTGAATCTTATTTCAGCAGCGACACCAAGTGTCGCCGCTGAAGCTCACTTTCAGCGGCGACAAGTGTCGCCGCTGAAGCTCACTTTCAGCGGCGACAAGTGTCGCCGCTGAAAGTTTTTTCACATTTTTTTAATGTTTTTTTTTTATAAAAATTTTATATTATAATCTTTTATTTGCGTAATTAAGTAACTTTGATAATTAATGTTTTTTTATGTATTTTTGTGTTAGAGAGAGACTAAAAGAAAGATAATATGGTGTTTGAGAGAGAAAGGAAGAGGAAGAAAGTTTGGAGTGTGTGTTTAACACACATATCCCATATCCAAATGTTTGAGAGATGGAATAGAAAAACATTATGCATGGGAGAGAAATGAGATCGAGGCATGCGTGAAAAAGTATACAAGTTTGATGGGATAAGTAATGAAATATAGAGTGAGAGGTAGATGTAAGTATTATTGGAAGAGAGATAGTCTGTATGTGTGAGAGAGAGAAGGATATTATAATTGAAAGAGATAACATAATTAAACATATGTGAGAGATTATTATAATTAAATTAGTGTGAGTATACTTAATTGACATAATAATATTTGATGATGAACATATGTATGAGAGGATTGAGAAATAAAATCATTAAAGGAGATAATATAATTAATTAAAAATGTGTGAGAGATATAGATAATAAAATCATATATATAGTTAATTAAATATTATTACTATTTATATTTTTTAATTTAAAATGTGATTAATTAAATTTTGTAAAACATATAGAGTTGCATATTATATATATTTTCTATTGCTCAATGGTTTCAATTAAATTCATTAGCCTGGCTGGCCACGCTTGTTCATTTTAGTGTAGAGGTCCTGCGTTCGAATATGGAAAATGTCCAATTTTTACACATTAATTTTGGCTCAAAAAGGTTAAAAAAAACATTTAATGTTACCTGGTTCGAACAGGGGATCTGATAATTATAATAGTTAACACTCCCCTGCCACTGAACCCACGTGTGTTATTGGCAAGGCTGGCGCATTGTTTTTGTATGTAAAGTTTCTTATTTTGAAACCCAAAACAATTCTAATCTTCTGAAAGTTAACTTTTCCCTCACTCTCACCAGATCAGACCAGCGCCGCGCACTTCTGAAAGTTCATCCCCAAATCCCCTCTCCCTCCAAACCTAGCGCTAGCGGCAGCATCTCACATTCTCATTTCTCACCGATTAGCGAAGACGGCGAAGAGGGACCTCAGACCTGCTTCTCCCCCATCCCCTTTCGTGATTTGCGCAGCGCCGGCGACCCCATTCCGTAGCAGTTGCAACCAAGCTTGCCTCCTAGTCCTTCAATTTGTGCTTGCTGCCGCAGCTATTTGCCCGCCAGTTGCCGGATCGCCGCTACTCTCCAGCTTCGTCACCGTTAGTACAGATCCAGGTAAGGTCGAGCCTCTCACCGATTAGTACAACCCAGTTCGTGTTTATTATCTTGTTTGGTATAAGTTCATGGTTGTGTATAGCTGATATAGCTGATACTTCTGTACTTTCGTCTTTGAATATGCTGTCATGGTTGTTTCAAAACCCGTTCTTATTTATTGAATTTGTATGTGAATACTTGAGCAACACGATTTGTAACTCTGATCATAATAAATTCAAATAAAATAAGGTTGGAGTATTTGATTTTGGACGTTCTCGTCAAAGATGAGAAAATTCTTGGTGAAACTTGGTCTGTAAACATCAGTGTATTATCTATTGAGCCATCATGATGACAAGTTAGCATGTATTACAGGCTGATTCTGCCAAAAAACATATTGAATAGATAAGCCTACGTCCCTCTTATTAAGTAATTTGAGTGGGGGACTGGATTTTGTATGTTATTAGCAACTCAATAAATATGAGTTGATTTTTTTAAAATTTTGTTTTTATTTCTGACTATCTGTGAATGGAAATCTCTTGATGTGTTATTAATAGGGATATTTAAAAGAATGAATTATACATTCAGGATTAAATTTAATCTCTAACTAGTTTTTATATTAAGTATTAAAAATATTATTTAACAGATTTTTTTTTCCGAGATGAATTATATTCACATCATAGTATTTGCCAATTACCAAGGGAGGGGCAACAGTGGCAGTAAATGTTATGTTGGATAGGACTGAATTGCTTAGTGACGACTCCAAACTATGCTCGCATATGAGGAACAAATTAATTAGAGTGATGGATGACGACTTCAAACAATGCTTGCATAAGCTGAAATAATTACACAAGTCTGACTTCTGAAGGCAAGAATGTGAAAAATGATTCTTAATTCAAACCTCTCCTGTGCATTATTGACAAATGTTAATCAGGCAATATTTTATTAAAGCCGTACGTTATGAGTAAATAATTAAAATTAGTTCCTAGCTAACAAATTAATTTAATGGTAATTTTTTTCATGTTCAGCTTAAAATTACCAGGTTCTATGGTATGGAAACGAAGTCTGACAGCTGTTCCCTGTGGCCATAATCAAAATTCATATGTGATATTATAAATCATAGTATGAATTATGAACCCTTTCCGTTAGCTATATATCTGTAACGCAATCATTGTGTTATAATGCTCAGTTGATGATTGAAATCAATACAGGGGCACATAGCACTTGTGTAATATGCTAATATCACACACACACACACACATCGTTTAACAAGAGAAAAAGATTCAGCTTACTTTCACAGATGACATGACAAGAGCAGTAGGGCAAGGAGCAAGAGAGCTAGCTAATTATTGTGGTTATGTTATTAGAACCACAATATCTTTGAAGGATTGTGCTGAATGGAGGAATGTTTACACAAATTATATTGATGTTATGATTTTAAAAGTGAAGGTACAATTTATGTTTAGTAAATGTATATCCTACTTTATTTATGCTTTCAAAACAAGTACTTATGCTGATATTGATTTTTATTTTAGGAAAAATTTCAACCTGCTGTTACAACAGATGAAGAGAAGTTTCAAAAGATGATAGTGACCACATTGCAAAATGCTTTCAGAAATTGGAAGACCAACTTGCATACCCACTATAAGAAATTTGACACTGATGAAGAAAGGTTGGCAAATCCACCTCAAACTGTAAGTTTTGAAGATTGGGAGTGGTTATTGACATATTTTCAGTCAGATCCATTTAAGGTATCTTACTAAATACTAACTATTTAAATGAATAATATAATTATATCATTCAACATACTTAGTAGTTACTCAAATTTGATGTAGAACAAAAGTGCTAGAAACACACAAAACCGAGCAAAACAAGTAACAAAGCATACATGTGGTCCCCGATCATTTGCGGAGGTTGAGTTCTCTGTAGTAAGTTGCCTCTTCACTACACTTTATTTTTTTTATCCATTTTTTTATTTTTCAAGATTTGTTATTTTTGTATATTATGCTTTATAGAGAGACCCCACCACTGGACAGCCTGCCCCCCCAGATCAGGTTTGGGAGATAACACATACTAGGAAGACTGCAGATGGCCAGTTACAGTGGGTGGATTCGCGATCTGAAGAGATTCATGTATGTATAAATATCTGTCCTTTATATTTAATTAAATAATTATATTTTTTTCATTCATGTAATTTGTAATTTGTAACTATAGGATCGCATGCATGAGCTCGTTCAGCAGCAATCCTTAGAGAGTGATGCTCGAATGACCTCTGATGAGATATTGACAGCTGTTCTTGGTGAGAGGTCAGGATATGTTAGAGGAAAAGGTTATGGAGCAGAGCCTCGGAGGAAGAGACTTCACACTCAATCTAGTGATTCACTTGAGAATGTACGCACCCAATTGTATGAAGAGTTTGAAAGAAGATTTCAAGAGGAGCGAGAAAAGATGGAAGCAAATCTTGCTGCAGAGCGAGAGAGGATGGAAGCAGAACGTGCAGCAGAGCGAGAAAAGATAGAAGCAGAACGTGCTGCAGAGCGAGCAAAGATGGAAGCAGAGCGTACGCAACTTGAACAAAGGATGGAGCAGTTGATGGAACAGAGAATACAAGCTCAGTTCACTGCTTTCATGCAAAAGATGCAGTTAAATGCTCCTGCAGATACCCCTACTTCTAGCGTCCCTAATATTGATCCCTCTACGTAATTTTTCTTCTGTATTATGTAATGTATCTTTTAATTGAACAATTTTTTTTTTCAGTTAGAGACATAAAGAACACTTTCATGGTTATAAATCTTATTATTTAATATACCATATTTGTGTGTTAATTACTTTATTTTTATTAAACCTTTTAATAATATTTATCAGCAATATAAATAAAAGTTTTTGCAGAATTAATATATTATAAAAATAATTAAAATCACAATCAGCGGCGACATTTGTCGCCGCCGAAGCTTGATTCAGCGGCGACCTTGTCGCCGCCGAAGCTTGATTCGGCGGCGACCAAAATGTCGCCGCCGAATCAAGCTTCGGCGGCGACCAAAATGTCGCCGCCGAATCAAGCTTCCGCGGCGACATTAGTCGCCGCTGATTCTCATGTTTCAGTGGCGACAGTTCTGAGCGGCAAACTCATCAGCTTTCAGCGGCGACATTCTGTTGCCGCTGAATGTCCAGTTTCAGCGGCGACTTTGTGTCGCCGCTGAATGTCCAGTTTCAGCGGCGACTTTTTTTGTCGCCGCTGATAAGTTTCAGCCACGGTCGCTACGGCAACGACTTGGTGGCGACAAAATGTCGCCGCTGAAGCTTTTCAGCGGCGACTTTTGGACTTTCAACGGCGACAAATGTCGCCGCTGAAAGTCGAATTTTTTGTAGTGTCCTCACATGACGTTGAGGTCACCATAATGCCCTTTTTGTGTTTAATGATTTGCCTCACTTATTGTACGATGCCATTTTAAATATCCTCTCAAGAAGAGGGGAAATACAGGTTTAGCACTTTTTGAGATGATAAGAACATGAGAACGGATTCAACGATTCATTCGAGTGCTTGGATCATTTGAGGGCTTCAAAGAACGATTTCGTGCAGCCCAGCAACACTGAGAGCTTGATCGGTCTCAGCAAAAGAAGGTAAAGCCATTAGATTAGAAGACGATTTCTGACTTTGTTGCACCTGAATGAACTGAACATATTATATTAAGTCTTCTCAAATTTAATCAGAAAAATATGAAGGAAACCTTATTAAAATAAGACAGTAAAGAAACAATTACGTGCTGGAGTGTGGCTGCCAAATAATACAGGCTTGTATTGTATATGTAATCATATTTGGCAAATTGTAAAAGAATGTCATCAAAAAACAATGCTTCCCTCAAACTTTTAATTACAATAAATCATCTCATCACAAAATAACTTCAAAAAAGAAAGAGTGTGTGTATTAGTCAGTTAATTCAAAAGGCAAATACAAAATAGAGATGACAGAGTGTGTATGCATTAATAACTTTTTTTATATTGTTTTTATTGAAGGAAATTTCTTTTAGTATTTCTTTGGGTGCTCCAACCATCCTAGTAATTGTTTTTATTGAAAGAAATTTCTTTTAGTATTTTTTTGGGGTGCCTCCAATTAACATCCTCATAGATGTGAAGAGAATCACAATGTGATCAAATTAGCAATCACATACCAGTTGATCTTTAACTAGATTATAACTTTGTCATTTTTGGCATCTCGAAAATAACATTCTTGTAAAAACAGAGTCAGCTTTGTGGACTCTTGTGGTGTTTCATGATCACAAACCATAAAATCATTGAAACACCTGATACTAAACATAAAAGAAATATCAATATCCTAGTTAATGGACATGAGAGATAACAAGATTTGGTCACCCCCTAATATGTAGTCTTTCTAGAGTAGGGAAATCAATGCAAGTTCTTTTTTTTTTTTTTAACCAAACAATCAATGCAAATTCTCAGACTTTGGTTCTCATCACATAAAGGGTCTTTATGATAGCTTCAGCTTTGGAAAGTTGGTATTGAGTTGTGTGAGATCAAAACAAAATAGCTCAAAATCAGGAAGATCAAAGTGCAGCTCATCATGTTGATTCTTTTTTGTTGAAACATCCTCATGATGGTATTTCCCCACAATATATGTTAGTTCAGGAGCATCTTTAACTGCACCACAATATAAGTTTTTAATTTCTCCACACATTGTGGATGGAAATAAAATTTCCAAGTCGTTGCACTCCCTGATTTCTAGTTTCTACAACTTCAGAAAATGTAGTAGTCGTATCAACATTTCAATTGTAAACCCTTCTAAATAATTAACAATGTATAATTCATAAGATAGACACTTGAACGAAAATACTGAGGCAAGTAGTGTAGCATACTAGTAGGTTTGTATGATCAAGCAATCTATGTTTAGAAACAACAATATTATTCTCATAAAATAAACACCAGCATCAAGTTGTTTTCTGTCTACTCCATGTCAGGAGTCCACTTTTAAACGAGTGATTATGCATGAACTGGGAGAAATCTCACTGGAGAAAAACCCAGACTTAAACTACACCTAATTCTTTTCGTTTCATAGTCTATCTTAGTAATCCGTCTTTTGTGAAAATAAAATAGAATAACATGAAGCACACAAATAGTTGCTAAAATCCAAAAGGCCTATGTTTAGCAGCAATTATCTCCCAACATTGTTGCCTTCGTTCTATGATATCTTGACGTTCCTTTAAAAGATGAGCATGACAAGCCATAACATTGGCATGCTCTTGTTGAACCACTTGTGCCACTCTTGCAGCCTCAACTTCCTCATCACGAATAGCTTTAAGCATTGCCTCATTGCTCTTCAGATCATTGTCTAAGCCATCTAGAACATTTTGGATGCTATCAACTTCACATATCTCACCATTAAAAACCTTATTCTTTGTAGACTCAATCCAATCCTTGTCAAAACCAAAAAGATAAGCATCCTTCAAATGCTCAGCTAGTATCCTCTTGTCTGCCTCGGTGATAGTGAAAGGAGTCCTGGTAGTTAGAATGTTCAAGATATCAAGCAATACCCTGTAGGACATGTGTAATACTCGAGCGCTTCTATCTTTTGTAGAGAGTCGAAGTTGTGGGCAAGTCTCAAGTGCCTTTGCAAATATTGAATGCTCAAAACCTTCCAATTTCATCATATCAACTATTTCTTGTACTCCAAGGGCAGTTGAAGCTTGATTATTGGCTTCTAGAAAAGAAGGCATCATCTCTATAGGGGTAGAAAATGGTGACAGTGACAACTTTGTATCCTCAACAATATCTGATTTGGTCCCATCATGAACGGAAGCCTCAGACTTCTCTTTCAGCAAAGATCTCTTTACTTTTACGTCACTTGGATGATGTGGCAAAGTTAAGTCACCTGTGAAACCAAAAATAAGGAATTGATGATATATTACTTACAAGACAAGATGCTACTCTCTTTGGTTTTGGAAATTGTTTTTGTCTTAAATGTAAGACCCCAATATACTATATATGTCAAATATTTGTTATTTTCCCCACAAACTGCCTTGACTTGTTACATTACAATCAATGACGGTAATTTTTAATATAAATGATTGAAAGGAGGGATACTTTAGAAAAAGAAAAACCTATTTATTTACAAATAACTAACTTAGTTAATTTTCTTAGTATATATGAATTAGTTATTAAACTCCTACATTTAGGATTAGGGAGAGTAGTATTTTACCTTCTCTTCCCTCTACCTTTTCCTCATCATGAGATTGTATATTATATCCGATCATTTCTTGCTGTGATTGTGATTCCATCATTATTGTTTCTTGTTTCGCCTCTTTGCCCGCCAACACATCCTACATGAAAATAAATGTGAACAAGGCCTAACTTCATATATACTCCTTTGATCCTATTTATAGGTCACTTTTAATATGTTTTATATAGACCAAGAAAAGCCTTAAATTTCATCAACTCTTATTTAAAATTCAATAATTTTTCAATTTTATTCCTATTTAATATACATTATGCTTCATATAAACAAAGTCAACACAATAACAAATAAAAAATAAAATTATATATCCATACAAAAAATTTCTCTCAGTATCCTATAAATAAGATAAAAAATGTCTTCTCTCTGCGTCCTATAAATAGGACCAGAGGAGCAACATAACTTTATGTATCTGTATTATTGAAAAGGACAATATGTGATTGAATATTTATTTTGTGAAAAAAATTTATCATCCAATGTACCTTCGCAAAATTCTGTGTGCTCATTGCGGACTGGTGTGGATCAATCGTGATTCTTTCATTTCTCGCTACTTTGTCCACCAAATCATCCTATTAGAAGATAAATAAAAGCCACAAGTTTGAACCATCTAGGATGAATGAAGACTAATAATCTACAAATAAAGGATAATAATCTCACTTTTAAATATGCCTTTTGTGAATCAGTTCTGTTTATAGCACCTGTATTCCCTTCCTCGTTCTGCAAAGCATAATGAATCAGTTTTTTATTTTGTAGTATTTTTATTTACAGAAATAAATGTTGTTCCATACCAGTTTTGTTTTGGTATACTGATCAATACCTCAATAAATATATAATAAAAGGAAAATCATGGAAAATTCCAATCTAAGGAACTTTGCAGTAATTTTCTTGATCAACAACCCCAAATAGATATAAAATAAACAAATAAATAAAGAGATAAGGTAAGACAGTGATTAACTTTGGCTTCCCAAAAATAATACTTCTTGATAATTTCCTCTGCATCTTCCTTTACTACGAACACCGCATGATAAAAAGGTTTAGTTATGAATGAAAATGTGCATGTCTCTCTGTATATATGTTTGCAGTTTTATGCAGTTTTCAAATATGAGATCAAATTCAAATTTTCATGCCAACACTTATGGTAAAAGAAATCATGGTTTGCTTCAAGATAACTTTCAAACAGAGAAACAAAATGAATGTATTGCACTAGTGACAAGTGAAAGTAAATAATAATCAAATGCCATTAACTAAAATAGTGTGCGCGAGCGCAAGGCAGCGAAATGAGATATACTCTTGTGACGTTTGAGGGACCAATTGTGGATTGTTGTGTTTTCAAGGCTTGTCTTCCATTTGAATGGAAAGAAGTATTCTGCTTTGTCTCTTCCGAAGCTTCATAATCTTGATTTTTAGAGTCATCAGAAAGCTGAGTGGCCGTAGTTTCTGCAAGTATATAATAATTTTCATTTTGAATTAATAATGCATACTGTAAAACAGAGAATTTGGAACAATTGTATACTATGGAAGAGTTTTCCAATTTTTATATTAAAACCCATTTGATGTACTTTTCATATGCTTGTAAATATATTTAAATAATACTCTTTGTTCCTTTTCTGTGTTAGGTTACCTGGATCAATTCTTAGATTACCACTTCCACTTGAGATAATGGCATAGCCAAGGGATTTGTCTGAAACTTGAACGTCATCTACAACATTAGGAGTTTGCTAGTTAGTTAGTGATTTCGGTGTCATTTTGAATATTTCTTCCGTAATCAATGAAGCAATATGATGTTAGAATGAAACCAATCCAAAATATAATTGGAAAAGCAAATAAAGATGTACAATGTGTAGAATCACTAAGGCATAGATTACAGTCTTCTGCAAGGTTGGTGACACTCGTTGTAGCAACATTTGCTTATGCTCTATAAGGCAGTCCAGGCAATTCCCACAATCCCTCACTACATATGAATAAAATCTGAATGAAATGTCACTATAAGAAAACAATAAAGAAACTCACCACCTTCAGAAGGTTTGGAGACAATAGATGAAGGAATTTGGTTGAGGATTCTTGAAGCTTTGGATGACATATGACTCAGTGGCAAGATTGTCTCAAAAGTTTTCTCACTCGAAATAAATGTTAAGGGCGGCACAAATGGGTCATCTATGAAAAAAATAGTTATTATATATATATATATATATATATCAAATTAAAGGGTGAAATATCTCATTTAAAAGAAAGCAACAAGTACCATTAATAGATGTTTTAGGCTTCTCCTCTAGTAAAGAATCGCTAGCTTTCATGCCACTTCGAGGACGTCGAGATGTTATCAAGCTATCTGTAAAATCCAAAATAAATAAATAATATTTTTGTTCTTCAAACTGTCTGTAAAACCCAAAATAAATAAATAATATTTTTCTTCGTCAAAACTAACGCTTCAATATTTTACCTTCTTCCTCTTCGTAAAATTTGGCATTTGCATGAATGTTGTCTCTTGTAGGAAGAAGAGTGAGGTCGGGACTTGTATGAATTGGTGCCTTTTATTGTAAACCGATGGCCATGTAAAACCAAGATGATAAATTAGTGTAATTGTTTTCTTTGTACTTTGATCAACAGTGCAACATATAAAAAGAAGCTTTAAGAAGATTAGCTAACGAGTAAGTCTTAAATTTTTTTGAATTTGATGATAAAAATGCCATTTTCTTAAATTTTTTTGTGAACCTTGGTGTTAAACCCTCTTCGATAGTTTTGTATGTTGCTTCACATACAACACAAGAGAAAAAATTATGATTACGTTGAATTCATTAACAACCCTTGGATTCCCGTGACAATGTATTCTTTTGGTATCTTTTAGATGACATACTTGTCGACAACTTCAATATTGCTTCTGCATAGCCATCACAAGATAAAACTTTGCTTAGTTCATGCCAAACTCAATGGATTACACACACACACGCGCGTGAGAGTTGATTGTTGGCATTTTAAATATCGCCTTCAAATTATATGGTTTTCTTCTAGCAATTGGTTCTTTTTTTTAAAAAATCATTGGGTTCATATGACGACTTTAAAACAAAGACAGAAAATTATTGTGTACTAGAGACATAAATAAAAAAAATCTCTAAATAAAAGACAATTAATCTCAATTTTGGTGATGCCTTTTTTTCGAATTAGCTCTAATTTTTAACCCAAAAATTTTAGGAAAATTAGAGAAGCTAGCTGAGAAAAACAAATTTATAAAGTATCCAACAATAATTTCACTACCCCATGTCTAAAAAGGAAATTGGGCCAATACTTGGCCCAATCTTGCATCTTCTTAAACCACTCAGCAGCACCCTCACATGCGGCCGAACACTTAGACCAATGTAAGGACTTTAAATCTTATTCCATCAATATTTTTTCCAGTGGCTGTCTGTTCTGCAAGTAGATCAGAGGTTTAAATTTTGTTTTTAGAGAGAAGTTGAGGGATTCATGCATTAAGTTATAAAAAATCATATCTATTCCATGCATGTTGATTTGTTTGAGGAGAAGTGGATTTTTGAAATCTGGAATTGAGAAGCTGACTTTTTCTTGCTTCTGTAAGTTTAATTATGTACTAAATTTATATTTAAGTGATAACTAAAATATAGTAAACACCTAAGGGCTTCAAGGTGAAATATGGATGAACTGAAATAGAGAGAATTAAGTATCGATGAATCTAAATTCTAAACACCTCAATGTATATAAAAGAGGAGTTTATGAATCTGGAAAATTTTAAAATGTAAAGGAAGGCTGTCCAAAACTTCAAAAAATGGATGAACTACACGTGTAAAGGGTCTTATGTTTCCCATATAGTGATTAGATGGGCAATTGGAATATCAAAGCATTAGTTTGTGAACTTTGATCCTTATCCCCTGTTTGGACAGCACCATTTAGATGTTATTGAATTTTTGTGACTCAGAGAGGTTTAAATGCTACTGTTTTAATATGTCATAACAAGGAAGTGTTTTGAATTCCCAAACAACACCAAAGGCATGTCTAAAGGCCCCTAGCATGTGTTTGGTGGCTCTTTTAAAGTGATTAGCAATATGAGGATTAAATCTTTTAAGTTTTTCTCTTAGGCCTGTTTTGGATAGTTTTGGATAGCATAATTTTTCGTAAGAGGAAGTTAAGCTTTAGTTAAATTTAAATATGATAGTAAGCTTAGTAGAGTAAGGTTTGACTGTAACTTTGTTTATTTCCTTTGTCAAGAGAAATATTTTTATTTACTATTTTTCATTTCAAATTTCCTACCCACTCCTTAATAAAATTAAAATAAATTCTCGAAGGTTATCACCTTATAAAATAAAAATCAAATCACGTAACGGAAAAGAAACCAATCACATGATGATGATGTCTCTTTTGTTATTTTTTATTAAAACAACATGTTTATCACAGTGGAATATATCGTTTCTTCAATAACCTGTCCAAAACTACAAGTTTTTTTCCTTCTTTTTTTTTAGTTTATGTCAAATTCTTTATTGGCATTCTAAATATGATCTTTAAACTCTGTTTTTCTCAAAGGATAGAATTTCCAGAGCATTGCCACAAAATCAAGGGCACATATGATCATGATGGGGACCGATGGAAAAGTAAAATGATGCCATTAGCAATCAAATCTTACCTCCATGAGCGAATGTCGCGTTGCTTCTCCCCTGTTTAAAGATTGATGCGAAGAAAGCTTGTCTCCTACTTTTTCTTCAGTATGACAATCTGCAGTTTTAAGACTTGCTTGAAGCTGGGTAGTTGAAGTTTCTGAAAATAGAATTTTTAATATTATAATAAAAATCATATTAATTTTCATTTTTAAAGAACAAATTATTTCTCTTAATGCATACCATAAAAAGAAAACTTGGAACAACCATCCACTTGTATGTTATCATCTCTTTTCAAAATTTGAAAATCGATCCCATGGCAGAGACCAACAAGGTTGGGAAGATCTATGAGCTCCAATTGACTTAATAGTGGAAGCACATCCTTCATGACCATCTCTTTCATCTCACCTTGTCTTACTAGCACATGCTCAAGTGCATTGGCTCTACTTATCTCCAAAGATCTTAGTTTTGGAAGGATACCAGAAACAGCGATAGAGAACAGGTACTGCAATTTGTCACAATCAATGGCAGAGACTTGTTCTAAGTTGGGAAAGCATGGTTCATGGTAAAAATGATCATCATTGTTTGTTTCATAATCTTCTTCAACAATGTTAACTAATTCTTCACACCGTGAGATTTTTAGCTCTGTCAACATTGGTAGGCTTCGCACTATAGATGCGGAGAAGATAAATTTGAGCTTAAAGCAACATTCAATGAATAGCTTCTGGAGATTATAGAAGCACATGACATGTTTAGGTCCCGCACATATATTCACCATCTCCCTTAGATATTCCAACTTCAACTTTTGTAAGCTAGATGTCAATGATCCAACTCCAACATGGGTCAAATCAACAATCTCTGTTATTTTGGAGTCCGCAATTAAAAGAGTTTTTGAATCGGACATCTCAATTGCCTGTGAATTCCATGAAAAATATATTAATTCTAAATTTATTTCAAAAAAAAAATTTAAATGTAGTCTGATTTGAGCAAAATCATAGTAGAATTTAGGCGAATGAAACTCATAAATAAAAATTAAGAGGTAACAAATACATCTGAATTTTAAATGTAAATGTTCTCTTGAAACATGTATGTATGAAAATAACAAAAGCCCTCCCTTATAGTTTGAAAAAATATAGAATTAGTCAGGTAATATTATTATTTTATGCTTCTTTAAGAGAGCATATGCACAAAGTAGTGAGAAATATTATTAAAATATAACTTAATCCATTGGGGGAATATGTTAGAATTGATAAGAGAAGTTGAACATAATCATACCTTTTTATCTTGTTGCTGTTTCATGTGCCAACAAAGCAGAAATTCTTTAAAAGGTCTTGTAAACTCTGAAAAACTTTTCAAGACGATGGACCTTGGAGATAACCCTCTCAAAGAGTAGTTCTGGGGATCAATGCTTACAAATGCATGTAATTCCTACAAGCCAATAAATCATTAAAGTCTCATCATGCAATAATACATAAGAGGTTTCAGTTAAAGTAATATACAATATACTAGCAAGAATAATTTGAGATAAAATTTAGCTTAATTTCCATTTTAAAAAAGTGTGCTAGTTATTTTACTCATACTATAATCAAATTAAAACTTAATTATATGTCTTCATCTTACAATATA